TAGTAATCAGTTGAATACAATTTCATCTGGTTTGCTATGTGGCAAGATTTAACTAAAAGGAGCTAGTAGGAATGTACCGTTGAAAGTGAAGGGTCAAGTGGGACTTCACTTCTTGGTGACAGCTCACATTTGAAATGGATTGAGATGTACCCTTAAATTACATCCTTGAATGGCCTTAATAAGAGACTAGCATTCAAACCAAGAAAGACTTAGTATAGAATATACATTTCATTTGGTTTAGGAGAGCTATAGTTTTTTTTTTTTTAAAAAAAAAGTGGGGGAAATGATAGATTCCTTAGAAACAGACACAGAAGACATTAATAGCTTTAACTCCACTTGTGTGTGTGCAGTTGTGAGGCGATGGTGACATCCCTGCGGGCTGTGGTGTGACCAGCTTGTCGGGGCGGCTGGGCCTTAGAGTGGCTTCGTGGTCCTGGGCTCTGCAGTCTGCGCTTTGCAGAACAGCTTCACCCAACACTGCGGCCCGTGGCGCTGCCCCTGGACGTGCTCTCTACCTGCCAGCTCAAAAACTGATTTGTGCTGTAGCTGTTGATTGTATTATGAAGTAAAAGATTTTAAGATCAAAGCTTTAAATCTTTCTGCTGAACGAACATAGAAACCTGTGAACTTATTTGCAGGGAAAATGCTTGTGAATGAGTGCTTAAGCTGTAGTTGTAAAAATTTAGGCTGATAATGACTGCTAATACTGTGTGCAATTTATCTTCCTTTTTTTTTTTTCTTCCCCCTCCATTAATTTAAGATTAAGTTTATAGAGTTTCCATCTAGTTCTCTTATATAGCCTTCCTGGTAACAATCTTTCATGTGCTGAAGGTGAAATTAAGAGTTATCTACTAATTGTCACACTGGGATAGCAAGCCTTTTTTTTTTTTTTTAGTTTGGGTTCTGGAATCTGGTATTTGTTAGCTTGAAAGTTAGTTAATACTGCATATTCAAATTCTATCTGCTAAATGTCTAAAACTAGAATATTTTCACTGCATTAAAGCTAGTTAGACACTGCAAGTGAAATCTTTAAGCAAACACTTAAAAGTTTTGCATGCCAAATCAGCAAAACCACAGCACTGGCTAAGGCTGAAAAACCATCAGGAACAGCTAAGAGAAGTCAGAATACCACATTATTTTTTCTGTCATTTATTTTATAAGAGGAGGAATGATAAAAATAATTCTTATTCCAGCAGTAACTAGTGAGGATGTTGAAAACATTGAATGTGTGGAACAAAGGGACTGGCATTAAAAAAAATCTAAAACATGGATATCAGTTTTTTTTCACACTTAAACATTGGTAAAGCTTAAAAGGATTTCATTTAATTATGTCTTTGGAGAAACAGATGTATGGTTGCTGACAGAGTTGGTAGTGGCCCAAAAATAGTGAGGTGGTAAGTAATTTGAATAGCAACTTTACAAAACAATCTGATGGCTTCAGATGGAATTAATTGAGGAATGTGTGTTTTAACATGCTCATAAATCCAGGCACAAAGACTGTGCTTGCTTGTCTTAGCAGTTACACATACAGTTTGAATGGGCCTCTTTTTAGGATGTTCATTACTCCAGCAAACAAAATAAGATGTCATCTGGCATGAAACAGTAGACAAAAGAAGGCCTCAAATCTGAGCACGGCAATCGGTGTTTTATTCATTTGAGACTCGGAGTCCTGAGCGGTGCCTGAGAATAACTGCCTAGAGGAGGAGGAAAAGTGGGAGCTTCTTGTGGCAAAATAGCAGAATAATTCCTTCCAACGAGGAAGGAGGCTTCTGTCCCCTCAACCAGAGGAGTTTGAGTTTTTCATGAAAATGGGCTGTTATGCCAGTCAGTGCAGTAACTGGGGACAGAGGGTCTTGTCTAATCCTGCCTTTAAATCTAGGCTAATATAGCAGAGGATGCAAGACAGCAGAGGCAGACTGTGTATGGTGATGAGCATGAACGATCCTGAATCTGTAGCCTAGAGAAGCTTTCCTTAGAAAGAGATCTCTGCTTTTCTGATTCCCACTTTTTATGTTATTTATGCATACATAAGTATACATATTATAGACCTAATTACAAAAGGTATATGCAGGACATGGAGCATGTAGCAAAATCCTGGGATGTTTCTTCTGCCATCTGAGAGGGCGATGGAAGCATTTTATCACAATGTTGTATTGTCAGGATCCTTCTTTGATCACAAAAATGTGGAAAATAAAGGTACTTGCATACTAGTAGCTCATTCTTCCGTCAGAGACAGAAGAGAGCTGTTGTGCATTCCTGGTTTGGTGTTCCTGGTTGGCCTTGTTTCCACATGTTCCTTTTTGTAGTAAGAATGAATAGTCTTTGGAAGTTCAGGAAAAACATCTGTTTACTTTTCTGTTTTCCTCCTCTATCGTTTGGTCCTTATGGTGGCGGTGAGTATTATTGATGTTCCTCAAGCCTTGATAACCGTTTTGTGGGAGAGTCTGCAGGCCTCTTGAACTCTGTGAAGATGGAGAGTCCACAGGCTCCCCAGGCAGCTTGTGCTGGTGTTTTACCACACATGGTGAGAGAAGTTCCTCCCTGGAGCCTCCTTCAGAGAGCTGTTCCTTCTGCTCTTCCGCTTGCCTTCTGCATCTGTCCTGTCCCTTGGCCAACTTCCCCCCAGCCCTGGGTGGGAGCACAGGCGCCCTGCGTGTTGCTCTCCAGCTCACAGTTTTATTTTTCATCCCTAGTGAACTTTTGAATGAAATAATGTTTGAGCAGTCGTGTAGAGGATTTGTGAGTCCCGGGGGAAAGTGCTGCTGGAATAAGCTGCTTTTGTGACATCCCGTGTCTTTGGTGAATAGGCATTTGAGGGGGGCAGAGTGCTGCAGCCCCCTCCGTGCGTGATGCACACATTTATTGGACAGGTTGGGCATTTTCAGCAAGCCCAGATTATCTGGGATCTAAGGAAGATACTAGAAACCAATGGAGAAGGTCTCTTGTCCACAGTTCCCCGGGCACTTGTTGATCCCATGTTCGGAAAGTGCGTTAGAGCTGTTGTCCTTCACTGCTTCGTGCTACTGCTTTTGTTATGGGGAGGACTGCAGCGTGCTGTTGTGCACAGCTATTCGGGATGTACACTATATATTTTAGATATTTTAGAAATAAAAATATATTAAATTACTGGCACTATGCATATATATTTGTAGTGATATGGTAGCATTCAGTAAAAGGTAGAGTTACTTTTGAAACTGATATTTTTAGCTGGGCTAGCAAGCCTTTTTTTTTTTTCCTACTGGTTTAATGGTGATTTTTAAAAATTTTTAGATTTCTTTTAGCTGAATGGTGTTTCTATTTCAGTAAAAAAAAAAATCTATTGGCCTGGTTTGCTAGTCTTAGGAAAGTCCTATAAATACATACTCCCTCATGATAATGTAGACAGAGGAGGAAAGAGAAATGACTGAGTCTTTTTGTAGGCCTTTTCAACGAGTTTGTAAATTATGGTTTTAAAAAGGTCTATTGGAACCACTTCTAAAAGCAGCTCAAGTTGGAAGCTTATATTTTTTTTCCTACTCTTTTATTGCAGTCTGATACATTTTTTTTTTTTGCATGTGGAAAAATTCTAGACTATTTTGTGAATAAAATGATGAAGCAGCACAGATGCTGTGTTTAGTTGCAGATGAAATACTGAAATGGTATGATATGTGTTACTGGGCCGTGAATGCTGACTGTAAGTTATGTGTGTGTTTGCTTCTCATTTTCTATGCAAATTAAAAATATCGATTTAGTAAGCAGAAAAAAAATCTATTGTTTGGAAGCAACTAGAAAATACTTCTGTTTTAAGAAGAGGATAAAATTAATTCAGTGCTGCCCTATACTCAATACTGGATACTATTCCACACTCTGAACAATACTACTACAAGTAAATACAACTTTACATTGAGCTCAGCTTAAGAGTCAATGTGCAGTTGTGTGGAGAAGTTGGGAACCTTTAGTCAGTTGGAACCAGAAAACTTGGGATGAAAATAACCCCCAAAAAGGCATGTGTTAGGGCCGCAGGCCTTTACTTTACAGGAAATACTGGCACGCAGAGAATATTTTGAATTTATCTAATATCTTTACTGGTCACCTACAAGTAAGCAACCCAGGTAGGGGAAAGGACAATTCTTTTTAATGTGTGTGGAAGGTCCTGTCACCTTCATAGTAGGCCCCTACTGTGCTATGTTACTCATGTAGTAGGATTATTTAGAGTCACTGCATTATATTGTTTTGTTAGCTCTAGAGCTGTTTCTGCTAAGTTTAGCCTAAGGTAGAATATGGGCAGTTTTTACCCATGCCATAAACTATCCTCCAGGCCAACAAACTGGCAACTTCTGGGATCTAAAGATGCAAAAAAGGCTTGAAACGATCACGTTTATTTCTGAATCAGCGTTCCCCCCCTCATATCAGAATTCAGACAAATATGAACTTTTCTTAATTTTGTTGTTATGATGGTAAGTAACTAAGTGTTTGTTGATCAACTCAGGTTAATGATTGAGCATGGGACTGATACGGCTTAAAAAAAAATGGCATTTTTAACCATGAAAATTTAAGAGATTTGATAGAGGTGGTAGGAAGAGAACTGCTTGCTACAGAAAGAATACAGGAACTAGTGAAATGAGGATGACTTCTCCAAAAAGAGTCCTACATGATGATAATGCATGCATAAATACTAATTTGTTCATATGGTATTTCCCTTCCATAACATGTATATGTTGACTGTGTGAATCTAAGAAATTTAAAGAAATAGTTTGTTTTTCTGTTTGTATGTTGCCATTTGTTTGTAGTATTATTTTGTATGAATTCTCCACAGAATGAGCTTAAAGATGTTACCGCTCACCTTAACTTTGGATAATATAAAATGAAATTCATGTTTTAAGTAACTTGTGGCTGTAATAGTCTAAACAGTTAAAATAGTCCATGGAAAAAAAATTGTAAAAGTTATTTGTGCTATAATTGAAATGTCCTTTGAGCTTCCAGAAGACTTTAAAATTAAATACAATTGTAACTTTTTGTAGGTTGGGCTCATGTGGTTTGTGCTCTGTACATTCCCGAGGTGCAGTTTGCAAATGTTGCTACAATGGAACCTATCGTGTTGCAGTCTGTTCCTCATGATCGTTATAATAAGGTATAATTATGTGTGTTTGTCTATATATAACTCATTTTAAAATTTGCAAACTGTAATAATGTAAAACTTCACTTTTTAGGATGCTTTTTACATAAAATTCTTAAATGCCTACTGTAATGCTCTCTTTTATGTCTTTATGATAAATTCAAGAATTATTCAATATTCAATTCAGCTTTAAACTTATTTGCACTGCCTTACTAAGGGTTTTTTTTTTTTTTTTTTTTTTTTTAAGCAAACTAGGGACTGTCTTGTTAATTAAAATATATCATGATCTTTGAACACTGGTATATTTTGAAAAGAATGTGAAATATGATTTCACAGAATTTAGGAGAAAGAGCTGGCAGAGGATTCTTCCATCTCTTTTAATTGCAGCCAGTGCTGTGGTTTGTTCTGCTCTGGTTAAACTGCCGTTAGTTGTCAAGCCGGCTGGCTCTGAGCTCGCATGTAAGCACCCTATGTAGCTTCTGTCCCCAAAATGCTACTGGCCACAAGTGGGAATGTCCCCAGAAGTGAAATGGGTCAACTGTTCTGATAGGTAATTGCTTCTAAATTATACTAATTGCATCAGGAATAGTCAATGAATTTGCAAAAAGATCAACTATCCCTATATGTTTATGAGGTGTTTTGTGTTACCTTTCTTTTCCAACATCCTCCAAACCCAATACAACTGCTAATTCCTTTTTAAGACAGCCTGCAATAACTGTCATTTTTTTCCCATTCAGTATTTATTCTGTGGTTATTCTAATGACATATTAACACTTTAAAAATCTGAAACTGTGTAGAACCATTTAACTCTGAATTTATCCCCTTGTAATGCATAATATTCAGAAAGAAATGAAAAAAACTTTTTTCAAGGGTGGATGTTGCAAAAAGGCCTTTAATAAATATAAGTATATAATTAAGAAAAAAGGCAATTAGTTACCTTTTTAAAGAGGCTTAATGCCCGAGTGTTTCATTTTGACTAATTAGCACAACTTGATTTGGAATGGGATGATTTTTGAAAGGGGGTTTATTTCTTCTTCCTCCTCCTTCCTGTGAAGTCCTAAGTAATTCTGGGTATTTGTTTACTGTTAGAAGGATAACATCCAAAAGCAGGAAAAAGTGTAAGTCAACAAAAATTACCATAAAGAAGAATATATACCATAGTCTTTAAACTATAAAAACAGACCTCTCTGAGATTTACCAGGAGACAATATTTAATTTACATAGGATTTTGTATGAAGATGTTCATTAATTGAACGCTGCAAGTAAATGCAGTATTATAAAATGGTATCTTGAATGCAAGAAAAACAGCTGTGCCCAAGCATAAGGCCTGCTGATACACAGACATTTGGCCACTGGCTTCTTCACCTGCTTCTAAGGTGAAACCTTTCACTCTATAGAATGAAGCCACTGAATGACTTGAGTGACAAGTTAGCCAGCAGGAAAGCTGCTCTTGCACAGTTGCTTCCAAGAAGAATTGAACCTGTAGTTGTTCTCCTGTTAAGTAGAGGTTATACATGGATAATCTCAATTTATTTTATTTGAGCTTTAGTTGTCTCTTTTGTGTTCTGAAACTTAATGATAACTGAACACAATTACTGCTTTTTGGAACCTCTTCAGAGCTGATTAAAAAAGCTAATGCATTTGTTTGGAGTGTCTTGACCAGCTGCTTAAGGGCAGCTGTTATACTTTTATTTCAGCATCTACTGGGACAGTGAGAAATTTCTGTTTAAATATAACTAAGTTCATTTAATAACTTCTAAATTAGCTCTTCCCGCTGCTGCTCTGCCATCCACATGACCTTTTGCTTTACAAGGGTTTTCCATGCCTTGTCTTCCCTTTTGTCTTAGGTTGAAATTTTGAATCTTTGAAGGAAAAATTTTAACAGATGAGCAAAGACAGTTTTGCAAACTAGGCGCATTTAAAGAGACCTGCACATTTGTCATGTGCACTGAAATGCCCCAGGGCTTGGGGGAGTGTCGCAATTTCAGGGACTTGCAAATGTTTGACTGTCTGAAGTCTTCTACTGTATTGTGAACTTCATCATCACTCTCTTTTCACTTAGACATCCAAACATAAAACAGAAGCTTAAGCAGCTTCATTTTTTAATACAGTAGAAGACTTCAGAGAAAGTTTAAAGCCTGCTTTGGAACAGAAGGGTGACATTTTCTCTATCCTCCTTTTTCTGTTTAGGCTTAAGAAACAGGTTCTCTGACAGGACAGAAGTTCTCTGAGCTTGTTTAATAATTGTAGGATAGTCCACAGTGTTGATTTTTAACTTTCAAAATACAGCTAGTCTGTTCTATCATTTTACAATAAAGTTTTACCATAAATCTCTTTAAGGGGTTTTGAAACGCAGATGCTAAATGCAGGATTTAGGATTGAGCCTATATCCTTGTAAAATGATGTGCTTATATCACTTATCTTTATGAGTTACAATAAAGAAAAAAAAGATAATGGAAAAACCCTGTTTTGAGTAACAGAACAGTAACTGGAACTTGTGTTTTATGGGGTTTGTTTAACTTCATCTGTTTATAGAGACACCTTTTGAAGTTGCACTTAATACAGTAACTCAGATGAGGTTGATAGGAACAAACAAGAACATGATCTAAAACTTAAGTGTGTCAGGTCACTGTATGGAAACCAAAAAGTGGCTGAATTGTCCTTACGGGCTACCTTGGTGTACCAAAGGAGCAAGGCAAAGAGCCAAGTAGGACTGTAGGCCTAGCAGAGCCTGCAGATGGGTGACTCCATGTCCCAGGGTGCAGCGTGTTAACTGTAATGCTCTTCTTAGCTATGGCGTTCTGACACCTGATGTTAAACACTGCTAAAAGCCGTTCTGATATATCAGAATCTGACAATTTTGTGTCTAAGTAAAAATGTTTTTATTTCATATCCTTTTAAAAAGTAATTTTACTTTATTTCACTAACATTTTTAAAATGTAATTTTACTTTATTTCACTAACATTTTAATTAAACTGTGTTTTCTACCACCAGTTGTCAATATTCTTTTTATTTATTAATCATTCTACTACTACTCTTTACATTCTTGGAAAAGGCTGCCATGCAATAGCAGCATGTCTGCTATAGAGTAAGCATAGATGACCGAAAAACAGAAGAATTAATGAAAGTTGTTTCTCTTTGCCTTCCCACCTAAGGCCTTCTAATAGGTTTTCAATACAGTAATGTACAGTTGATAGTTTTCATGTTAGTAGGAGTCTGTCTTATTTAAAAGTAGATAATTGACTACATCTATAAAGGATATTTTCATTAAGAATCAATTGTTAACTTGTTCCATTTTGCTTGTGCCATATGTTTCAAGTGGTATTATAAATGTGGTGTGATACCATCTGGCATTTCAAAAATTAGAACAGAAAAAATGGAAAGAGATGTAGTTTTACCTGATATTTTGCACCAAAATGTTGGCGAGTTATTGAAGTGGTGTGTTTTAACAATTGTGTTTCTATATAGCTTTTCTTCTTGTCTGTGATCTCTGTGTTAAAAACATTGAAAAATGAAGAAAAAAAAGATATATCAATCTATTTTTTTTCCGCGCTAATTGAAAAGACTTTCCAAAATCTTATGAATTGCCACAGTATTCTGGTAAAAGAACAAATTTGAGAGAAAAGCTGTGAAAAGATTTTCAGATTCTGGATGATTAGTTTTCATTTTAGCTTACTAAATTTTGAGTTTGAAATGGGTTTGGTGTATTCACTTAAAACTTTGAAGAAGATTTTTTGCTAGGCTGGTTTTTAAGATGGTGTTCATGTGGCTATGCGAGTCATAGTGAAGTTAAACACAAAATCCATCAAGTAAATGCCGAAGCATCTGTGAGACCTCTGAAAACTGTTCACAGCAAAAGTACAAACAAAACTTGAAGTTAGCAGATTTTTACGTGTAGTTTGTGTGGAGGTCTACGCATGTGTATGTGTCTTATGAAATATATGGTGTCTTGTGTTTCTTTGATATTTCTGAATGCAAATGATATAACTTTGGTGATATTGGTAATACTCATGATGAATATGTGAAACGATTGTGACCTATAAGGCCATAAACACAGATTTGAAGTTAAGGAAAATCCTGAAGCCCCATGTTACTTGCTTTTGGCTGCTTGACCATTTTGGCTGTTTGAATAGTGTTGTAGAATTGAAATAAATTAGTATTTGTACCTCATTAGGGTTGATAAAGTTTTATAGAGAGTCTACCAAGGTGTCTATTAGATGATCTCCTTTTACAAACAAAATGTAACTAGTTTTAAAAATTGATTTCTTATATAACCTTAGCTGCAAAATCCAACAGTTCTTATGCTAGAAAATCTCCTGTGAGTAACACAGAATTCATTTGTATGCTTTTTATCATGTTAAGTATTTTCTCTTCAATAGACATGCTATATATGCGATGAACAAGGCAGAGAAAGTAAAGCAGCCACTGGTGCTTGCATGACATGTAACAAACACGGGTGTCGACAAGCTTTTCATGTAACATGGTAAGTTTATATTATCATTTAAAAATCTCTGAAATCATTTTCAAAAAGAAACAGAGAAACAGCTGCATGTGGTGTTTCTGTGGCATCTGTAGTAAAGTGGCTGTTTTGCAGCCTGTGTAGAATATCCAGCATAATGGAGTTTACTGACAGTATGATCACAGTAGCATAGACGTTGTGAGCTATAAAAGCTATCTCAGAATATTCCCTTATGTTGTATTAGCTGCTTGGAGGTCCTGTGAATATGTCCAGACAGGAGCAGCAGCAGAGTTATGAATTGAACGCTAGCTGATAGCCCATGTAAGATTTATCGCTTTTCCCTTTGCTCCTCCCTTTATATAAATGTGGTATTAAGAAGAAGCTGCTTGCTTACCTGCTAACCTTTTGCTAGTAGTAAATCAGTTAAAAAAAAAATCAATTTGGGAAACAGGTAGCTTACTGAGGTGTGCATAAAAAACACAATAAAGATATCCCCAAAAAGTTTATGAATCTGTGCCAGGAGGGGTGAGTTACCTCACTAGGTTTATCTGAATGGTACCTTTATAACCTTAACTATAAACTTAGTTTTCATCTACAGCTGCTGGTGAAAAAATATATCATGTCTAGCATCTGATTCATTATCCTATGATATTTGGGTTTTCTTGCATTCTGGAGATGCCTGCTCCACTTTATGGACTTCGGCCTGGGTTATTAGATTAAACTGTATGCCTAACAGGCAGAAGCAGGCAGAAGGAATCCCATCCCCAGATTTCCTGGGGATTCTGTGTTCCTTCAGACTCAGGTGAAGTCTTTTTTTTTTCTTTTGTTTTATACAGCTGTCTGCTTTCATAATCTCTGCTTTTATCCATCTGCTTTATGAGCACCCCAACATGCTTCATCATTTATCAGTGCACCAGTCCAGTCAGGGAAATCATATTTGCTCATCTACTTAAACATATTTTCTTCAGGATAATCAAATGATATTTTGAATATCATGTGCAGATCTTAGAGGATTTGATTCTTCAGGCTAGATGCTAATTTCTTTGCAACTCTGCATGTCCTCGTTTGCAGTCAGGGCCTCTCTGTGCAGGGGACTGTGTGTGTATACACACACACACACACACACACACACACACACACACACACACACACACAGATATCTGGCAGGATGGGCAGGATCTTGAAATTTTATTTTTTCTTAAACATCTTTTTTCCATTGGAAATGGTTGATGTCAGGCTTGATTTTATAATAAAAAAGGATTTGCTCCTGAGAACTTATACGCATATACATAAAGAGGCTATTTATGGTATTTACAGTTATGAAACCATACCATGATATTCATCTAAGTATTTTAAATTTAAAAGTTTTTTTTTCATCTCTTGTCTTTCTTTCAATAAATAAATAAAAACTCAAGGACTGCCATAAAGAACATGAGACGATATTCAATGTGTTATTCAAAATGAAAATATACGCATCATTCCTAATTTTGTCAATTGTTATAATATTTTGATTCACTATGCACAAGTGTGTGTTATAAAACGATACCCAGCCAGAGAGTACTGTGACTAGGGATCATGAGAAGCTTCTGTGGTATTCGTAAAATGGAGGGAATATGGTAAAGCTAGAAGAAATGGACATCTGGCATGAGCTGTATCAACTGGGACTTAACAAATCTGGTCTGGCAAGAACAACCTTAAGTCTATCCTTTTGTTTTTGTATATCAAACTTAGAATGGTAAATCTTTGCTCGAAGAGATTGTGTTAAATGTTTTTGTAGTTGGCGTCTGTTGTAATGTGCATGTATTTAGGAGAAAGTATTTATGGATTGCCTAAGGACATAGTGTGCAAATGAGAGCAGAAAAAAAAAAGGCAGTGTAAATAAGCTGATGTGTAATTTTTTTTTAACTTAAATATTTGCTTGCAACATTCTCATAGAATCACAGAATGCTTAAGGTTGGAAGGGACCTCTGGAGGTCATCTAGTCCAACCCCCCTGCACACGCAGGGTCACCTAGAGCACGTGGCACAGGACTGTGTCTTAACTGTTACATTGCATCATTGTGCTAATGAAAATGATGTACAAAATGAAACTCAATGTTTGGGTCTTCCACATTGTCCAAGGTCAATAAAGAAATTTATCCAAGATTTCAATATAGAAAATAAAACAAGCTTGCACAAATGGTGAAAAGAAAATTTGACTTTAAAAGAGGGATAGAATAAGGTAGTATTAGCCCAGACAAGGAAACTTGCAAGTTTTGTTCTTTCTGAAGGGAGTTAACAGGCCACAGTCTGTGTTTAAACCAGTAAAACTTGGTTTTGTAGGACATGTAAAAATTCAAGGTTTTGTTGAGGGGGAAAAAAAAAATCTGACTTGAGTTTGATCTAAGATACATAATACATTGCCTGGTTGATTTATTTGTGAGACTAGTTGCAGAGTAAAAGCAGACTTTTAAGCTGTACTTGTGTGTATGGGGCTGATAGGCCTGATGCCCTTTTCATAGTCTAAGTATGAACCGTATATGTATTTCACTTGGCTGTGAAAAGATTAATTAGGTACTCACATATCTTTAAGTTGCTTGTTCCTTTGGACTTTTAATAAATGTAGATGCAAGTATCTGTATAGAATCAGGTGTGATGTTTTGATGTGAGTGAATGTAAAAATGATTTTCTTGGATGTTTTTTGGTTTGTTTTAGTGCCCAGTTTGCAGGACTTCTTTGTGAAGAGGAAGGCAATGGGGCAGATAACGTCCAATATTGTGGCTACTGTAAATATCATTTTAGTAAACTGGTAAGTATTTATTAACTTAAATTGCACTAACTGTATTTCATTAAAGCAACACTTTAATCGCAATTCTAGAAATACTAGCTAAAAATGTAATCTGATTTTGTAAGTGGTTACTTCCAGAATGTGTGTTTCTTCTCTCTGCCAGAAGCAGCATTTGTTGAGGCTTTTTCAAAGTTAGTCCTTTAAATCATTGAATTGCTGGAATATTTTCCTTAGCTATTTAATTAGTTGACTTCTAGGAATTTAGAATGTTCCGGAACAACGTAGATGTATTTCTTTCTTTCGATATCCTATATGATGGAGAATAAAAAAATCCTCTCTCTCTCCTTTTTTTTTTTTTTTTTTTTTACTGTTCTTTCCTTTCTTCCTTCTCCACTGTGTAGCTAGTGGCTGTTCCCTATCTCCGAGTTCTTTGAAACACAACCTCGAGGAAATGGCTTGAGGTTTGATGCAAGAACCTTCAAAATTTTTTACTTATTTCTGTAGGTTTTTGAATCAGACCTCGAGTGTTTCGTACCACTTCTTATTTCGCCAGGTTGACAGGGCCATATAACTGAGTGTGTATGTATGTGTATGCATTGATGCATGTGTGGGCATGAGGGACTTTTATTTAAATTCAGATTCTGCTATAAGTTTGCTTAAACTTGCTTAAACTTGTTTTCAGTGCTTAAAAAAAGAAAAAAAGCTGAATACTTCAGGGTAAGTTTTGAATAAGTTGCGATGAGGTAAAGCCCCAGGGCAGATGAGCCATTTTAGCTTTCTAGGAGCTAAGCCCAGTGAGGTTAGCTCTGTGCTCCTGTGAAAATTAGTATGTTTACTTCATGATAAAATATTGCCCGTACTTAGCTACAGTTTTTATCTTGATCTAGAACAACATTGGTGCATTAGCTAGCAGCAAAGGCTAGCACTGTTTAGTTGGAATGCAGCAGTGCAGCTATGACTTGAGAACATGCATTTTTGTTTGAAAAGGAAGGTTAGCGATATAGAAACAGCTTCAGATTTGATGTATAAATAGCTTTCCCTTACAAAACTCTAATGCTTAGAATAGTAAAGACAGGCAAGATCATGTTAGCTTTCTACTGTATCTTAGGAATACAATGACTATCAATACTTGGTAAATGCAGATACTAAGTATTTATTACTAAAGATAATGGGTGGAGTATATCTATCGTATCACTGAAAACTTGAGTTGATTAGAACTGACCTGAAGCGTCTTTATAGCATTTCCTCAGTTATAATAGAACAACTTAAACGTTTTGGATACTGACCTAGCATGAAGTATGCGAGGTCCCAGACCAGGCTCTCAGATATTATAGAAATACAGGTAATTGTCTGCTACTTGTAAATATATACCACAAATACTGTAACATTCTGTAGCCTTTTTTTTTTTTTTTAAGTGTTTTTATGTTAAAAATGTTGCAGACGAGCCACTTGACTAATAAATCATGGAGCCATAGAATGGCGTTCTCAAAATGCGCTTGAAACTTATGAGGGTCTTAGCACTGTGGGTATTCAGTTGAGCATCAACTTTTCTCTCTTACGTGGTGAAAATTTGAGAGTGCACTTAAGCATATTTTAACTTTTAAAAAGGTAATCTCATTTTTGTGGAAGGCACATTTTGAAAATTCATGAGTTGGTTTAAAAAAAAAGTCAATATAAAGGTAGGCTTTTTATTTTGCTTTGGTATACATTAGAGAGTCTTGTTAACTTTATTAGTGTCAGTTATTTGTCAGCTTTTCAGTTACTGGATTTTTTTTTTCCCCTCAAGCAGTAAGGCATTTTATCATTTGAAATGCTTTATACTTTCTTTTTATTCAAATGATTCCTTTTCTATATCCATAAATATATTTTCTCTTTTTAGAAAAAGAGCAAACGGGGATCTAATAGGTCATATGATCAAAGTTTAAGTGATTCTTCCTCTCACTCTCAGGATAAACATCATGAGAAGGAGAAAAAAGTAAGTGGATTTGTCGTTGCTAATTATGTGGCACATCTGCTTAATAGTAGCATTTTTGATAAACACTTAACTTAGTTCTTGCTGAGAAGCATGAAGAAAATCTCATACTTGAAGCACTGAAAAATAAATAATACAGGTGATAAACTAGAGATAATAGTGTCCAGTGAGAAAACATCTTCAGAGGCATTTGTACGTGCACCTCTTCTACCTATTTCTTTATCTTAAGTTTTGGCATATAGACAAACAGGTCTATGGAATAGCTGTTTCTCCATACAGCTTCCTCAGTCTTAGTTTCTCTTCAGCGAAATTTTGTCTTCGTGAATAAACGGGGAGGAAAAAAAATAGAGGATGTATTAGAAAATGTTGTCATGATCAGGTGCATCTAACTTGTGCTTTAATGTGTTCTGTCTTCTTTCTCATCAGGGAACTATCATCTCTTGCTGTATTTTAATGGTATTGGTGGTCAGGACCACCATACTGGCAGAACATCCTGTGGGTCTTTCAGGGGGATTATAAGGGACGGTGCTGATGGCTAATTTCCATCTACATTGGCTTATTTTTTCAACACTTCATATGTTTTTAAAAGAGAGTTTAAGTATTACTTTTCCATTTTTAATTTTCCCACTGTCTGTGGGAAATTTGGCACCATTTTTAATACTGCCAGATTTATTTCCCACTGTCTGTGGGAAATTTGGCATCTAAATACATCACAGTGAGATAACAGACAGTAGCACAGTAATTCATATTTATTTGGGCACTTTTTTAGCCTCCTTTATAAAAAATACATGTGAAACTGTTACCATCCTGTATGATTGGTTTATTCTGGGGGTGTGGGTGGGCTTTGTTCTGACCAACACAAAAGCATAATGAGACTGAACAACATATTGACCAAATGTATGCTGGGGTGGGCCTGCACATTCCCCAGCATTAAATTTGTTCTTAAGTTGACTTCTATTCTGTGAGAATGCTGACCTTTGCTCTTGGGTAACCTGTTATAAAAGTGTCCTAAGATTTTGCTTCTCAGATAGATGAATAGTTCCATAAATACCTTCTCTCTACACCTGGTAACTCGGGAGCCTGTACTTTGTGATGCAGTTCTACTGCTGTGTTTAAATTTATAACTCAAAATGACAAGAGGTTTGGCTTTTGACAAATATTTTTTTTCTTTCTTTTTTTCTTTTTTTCTTAATAACATGGAAACAAAGTCTTCAAATATAAACTACAGAATTACCCACAAGTCAAAACCACAGTCATTTGCCATGGTTTTAGTGCCTTGTCACTGCTGGTTGTGAACAATGATTTGTCAAAACACATGCGCTGAGTTTAACTAATGCTGACCAGACTTTGATGTTGAGTTTAAAGAAACTTGATGCTTATGAATTGTAAGTGCTAAGGGCAATTTTGGCCTTGTGTCTCTGAGCTGTGGAAAACCCTTTTTAAAAAAAAAAAAAGGCAAGCCACTTCCACTGGTGATATTATCCTGTTTCAGGTCATAATACCTGTAAAAACTTAAGGGAATATGTGGAGGAATGTACTCCTACAGTGTGTATTCAATCAACATATCCAGTGGTTTTCCCTGATGGCTGTTTAGCCTCTCCCACTCTGTAAGTGTCTTGCTGTGGATCTTGTAGACCTAGTTAATATTGCTGTTTGCACTTGCAAGCCTTGATCTTTTGTCTGTGACTTGGAGAGGTTTGTTAGAAATAGGATATAAAGATTTCTCCTACCTTTCATGAACTGGAACATAGGAAACCCAAATATCTCATCGTTAATAACACAAAATGAAGCAATATATTTTGATGGAATTACCTGTTGCTTGGCATTGAGAGATTCTCATGCTATATTACAGCACATTCACTTACCAAGCTTAATTGGAGTTACATGTATAAAATACTCTGGTTGAGAACAGTTGAGATGGGTAAAAAAAAGTTGCAATTTTCTCAAGTTATTAGTAACGTAAATCTTCCTAGCTACAGGTTGTTTGTTTGGGATTTCTATCTTTCGTATCCTATAATTAAAGAATGGTCTGTGTTCTCCAAGATACTGGTCTTCAGTCAATAAACCATGTGTGGTGTGGATGCTCATTCCTTTGTGCAAGTTGATTTCCTTCTGCAGGCGATGGCTCATTCGATATATTGTGTGGCTGGTGTTGTTACTGCTTGTCTTGTCTCTCTGTGATTTAGTTCTTGTGAAACCTTGGGAAAATGCAGACTGCTGCTATAAAAGGACATAGTCCCAGAGGAAAAACAAGTGGTTGTATAGTTTTTTGAATTGCTGAAGAGAGTTGATAATGTAAGAAAAAAAGGCATGTGGCTGCTACTCCCCACCTTTCTGGTTTTAAAAGTATTTTTGGTATTACAAACAGAAGGGGAAAATTCCTTTGTCGAAAAGCTACTAAAATGGATTATAAAATACAAAACTGAGACACAAATGACAGTAATCCTTCAAGAGGTCTCTTGGTCTTCAGTGTGCAGGATTTAGAGGACTGGTCTGATTGTATTGTTCAGTGTAGGCAGAAAAGTGTTCTGCTACGAGACTGCGAATGCTAGTCAACGGTCAGTAAGGCAATTTCATGCTATTTTTTGTTTGCTTGTAGTAGACAACAAAACTTAGATGAATAAAACAGCAATTTCCATGTTTTTCGGCTTCTGACCTGTTGGTGAGTGAATGTGCTTGGTTTTACAAGTAAGATGATGATGTTTTATTTCTTTATCCTCCCAGATGAGCTCTTGGCACTATTCTGGCTCTGAGATTGCCAGTAAATAAAAATCCTGCACTAAAAATTCTATCTTTTTGTTGGTTTAACACCTTTCATATAGTTGTGGTTGTAACAGGGATAAAAAATCTTTGAATACCCACAAACCAGGGCCAGATTTTCTTATGTAAGGATAACAATACTCTTTCTGTGTTACATAACAGAAAACATTTTTAAAACAATTTTTAAAATTGAACACGCAAACCAAAGTTGTTGATTACACATTTCATTCTAGGTATTAAAACTTTGTGTCTTGTTGTTAGATTATCTATCAGAAAGATTTGGATGCCCACCGTTCTAAACCTACCACAGATTTCATTCTTGTTGCAATTAACGATCAGTAATGACCTCTCTATGTTTGTCTTGAGTATGCTTGTGATCAGTAATGACCTGCATATATTAAACTCTCTATGTTTGTCTTGAGTATGCTTGATATTTGCAATGAACTGTAAAGTTCTGTGTGCAGATAAGCTTTGAGAATTGGAAGTTGTCTCACTAGGAGATAAATATTTTGTTGCATTTTAAGCCAACAATTTCTTAATACTCTAGTCAAGTACAGAAGATGACTTGTGAACAGTTAAAAGAATATTAATGTTTTGAAATATGTGGGAACTGCAAGTGTCCTGAGAAATGATTGTTGAAACTACCTCCAAAATAAAATCTTTTGAAGAGAGCAAGGAGAAGGAGAGTTAAATCTGAATGGAAATACAGAAAAAGAAGAAAGGTTAAAACAAGTATTCTCATATTTTCTCCTGCAAATGTACCTGAGGATGGTTCATAGAATAATTCAGGTGAGAAGGCACCTCAGGAGGTCTCTAGGTCATTGTGTTCCTCAAAGGCAAGTCAGCTATGAGATTGGAGCAGGTGAATTGGGGCTTTATCCAACATGGTCTTGACCTGCAAGGATGGAGGCTCCGTGACTTTTTGGACAACCCGTTTCTTTGATTCACTGATTTTGTGGTGAAAATGTTTCTTCTGATACTCTCTTGAACCTTCCTTGATTCAATTTATATCCACTGTGAGTGTAGTAGTGTAGTACAATAGGGATTTGGGATACATGGCATAGGTACATCAGGTCAGCTTATTCGGCTTGTCTTATGGATGCAAAAAAGATGTCTTTTCTGGTGCTGATTTCAAAAGGTGACTGTTTATTTATGCATGCATGGGTCAATACTATATAGATAGAGCTAGGAATTATAAGGGAGATGCAGTAAAACTTTCCAAAAATAGTGAATATTCTGTAGATTTTGAGTAGGAGATTCAAATGATGAGATACTATCCCATGATATCCCAGTAAGGTGTCAGACTCACTATCGTAGCTGCAGGGCCTCTGAACTGAAAATTACAAATGGGATTGGACATTCATCTAATGATTCAATTTTAACATCATGATAATAGGTAGAAAGTCTTCTGTGGCCTTATACTTTTCAGGTTTAAGTCGGATTTTAGATCAAATACAAGATTTAATGTGTTGTTTCAATGTGTGCAGGCAGCTTCAGAACTGTTAGCTGTGGAATTGCTCCTATCTTGCTGTGTTGGGTAGGAAGCTGGATTTAGACCAATTTAGATATCACCTGTGACTTCCCATGGTCGTTACCAAATCATTAAATTCCTTTTGCTAGGTTGAATTAACGAGTACCAAGAGTTTTGAGAGAAGGGAACATAAATGCAGAGAGACTTAATAGAAGTTAAAAATTATCACCGTCTTCTCAGTTATGTTTTATTGCCAGTATCCTGACTGTAGCCAGTTTAGAAAATAACTCCATTGTTACTGCGCTGTCCCCTGTGAGCTTCAGGTTCATAGTGTTAGCATCCAAGAGGAGCTTGTTCAGTGACTGACGGAAAGAAATTCAGGTTACTCTGTAAATGATGTTTCCTGACACTTTCAGAGGACTACACTTAAATTTTTTGATTAAAGCAAAAATACCTTTCTTCTATGTTAGAATAGTTGCCTTGAAGTTGATTAAAAAAAAAAAAAGTAGTTACTGCACACAGTTTCAGAGAGTTGTTAGTGCTTGAAATTTCTTTGTGCTGTTGCCTTTTTCCATTTGTAGCATAATGATAATGAAGAAATAGGTGCTCCTTGGTAATCTCAAAGGAAGAGTTGTTACCTAGGGTGGTATCTCTGTATTCCCTCATCTGTAAATCCATTTGGCCTTTGGATCTGTAAATCTGTTTAGACACATGTTTAAGTCACCTAGAGCACGTGGCACAGGACTGCATCCAAGCGGGGTTTCAAGATCTC